ATGACTTTTTTTTTTTTGCGCCAAATGTCTGTCCCACAAAATTACCAGCGTCACTTTACAACAACTTATTCGTCAACAGTACAGTTGCTTGCAGTTTGTTTTTATGTCTGCTCACATTATCAAGCTGCACATCTCCACCAATTTCCGTTCCCACATCTTCGTGTTGTTTGGTGTTCTCTCCTGCAAACACAAGGAAGAAATGTTTAAATACAAATGTTGAAAGACTTTGAAGCAATGTTCCCTGAGGCAATTAAATGTGTCATTTAATTTCTTTGCCCAAGCTTCCCTTGGCCATGAAACAGCCACGGTCATGATGAATGGATATCTATCTATCTATCTCTCTACATGCCTACATACATAAATGAATATAAAAATATTCTATGTGTGTGTGTGTGTGTGTGTGTGTGTATATATATATATATAGAGAGAGAGAGAGAGAGAGAGAGAGAGAGAGAGAGAGAGAGAGAGAGAGAGAGAGAGAGAGAGAGAGAGAGAGAGAGAGAGAGAGAGAGAGAGAGAGAGAGAGAGAGAGAGAGAGAGAGAGAGAGAGAGAGAGAGAGAGAGAGAGAGAGAGAGAGAGAGAGAGAGAGAGAGAGACACACTGTATTTACCGCACTAAAAGGCGCACTGGACTATGAGGCGCACCTTCAATGAATGGCCTATTTGGTAATTTTTTTTCATATATTGGACGCACTGGATTATAAAACGCAATCTATAATGGATCCACTAAATGGAGGTATGCTCCTTCCGTTGACTCGAAAAACATAAATTAACGATTCCTTCAATGAAACTACGAAAATTGAAAATAATGCATTAAAACAGAAAATCAAGTGAGGAAATCACAAAATAAATTCTATCGCCCCCCCCCTACAGAATTTATTTTGGCATTTCCTTGAGCGGACCGCCAACAGAACGATCAGATGTCAGTAAATTGGAGGAGAATGGACTGTCTCAGAAGTGTTTGTTATTTATTCCTTTGTTGTGTATTCACAAATGAGGAAATCACAAAATACATTTTGTAGGGGGGCTGTAGAATTTATTTTGTGATTTCCTCGCTTGATTTTCTGTTTTGATGCATTATTTTCCATTTTCGTAGTTTCATTGAAGGAATTGTTAATTTACGTTTTTCGGAGGCGGTCATGAACGGCTCTCAAGTCGAACGGAAGAAGAGAAGGCACGGAGACGGACAAAGACGTACCTGTATTTGTTGAGACTGTGAAAACCATCAATAACGTGTGCTTTTTAAAAAAACAACACCACAGCTCTCCTTTTTTCGGAGCTGCAACAAAAACTTATTTAATAAAGCAGCTACACAATTCACTGAACCAACAGCAAGTTCATATATTCTAAGCATGTCTCCAGCAAGGAGCTATTTTGGGGTCGAAATATTACCGTAATGACCATACACAAGGCACACCGGATTTTAAGGCGCTCTGAACTTTTAAGGAAATGGAAGACTTTTCGGTGCGCATTGTAGTCCGGAAAATACGTATTTTTCTTTCACACTTCGTCAGCCACATGTGCCAAATAGTTTCCAATTTCTGTATCAGAGAAGAAAATGAAAATACAAAACATTGCTTTGAAGTAATAGCCTCAAAAGAAATCTTGGTTGAAAAAAAAGGTCATCGATCATGGGCAATCAGACTACATTTAATATTCCAACATCAATAAATGTTACTTTGAGGAATATATTTTCTTCCTTATTCAAGTAACGCGACGATGTGGATGTGGATTTGAACAGTTGTTAATCTCAATGTGTTCCCTGCGACTGGCTGGCGACCGGTTCAGGGTGCAGTTTGCCTTTTGCCCAAAGTTGGCTGGGATACGCTCAAAGGAGAGACATCACCGTTTTCAGTGCATGGATGACTCACATGTCCATAAACAGCAAGAGGAAGGTGAAAGATTTGCCTTTTCAAGAGAGAAGGGCAGCCACTATTTCGAGTCTGTGTCGGTTAAAAACAACAGTGATAAGGTTTGTTGCACTCCGTGCTGCCAATGGTGTTACCCATGCAGCTGGAATAACCTTTGTCCCATTAAAAACTGTACCATTGGTGAATCATCCAGGACATGGATTGGACTCACCCGTGATCCTAATACGCTCCAGAAAATGGATGGAAGGACATTTTTAAATATACATTTATTTCTGTAGTTTTAATATATCTGTATGCTTTTTTTCAAAAAGAGGGAATTCTGAAAATACAAGAGAACGGGGACTTACGACTTTATTATAAAAGCATTTAAACTCCCTTCCGAGGTTGAATAGCTTGAATTGTTTTTGCAGTTGCTTGACGTGGATGCCAAACATTGTTATGTGTTGAAAGGAATGTATTTGGAAGGTTAACAATCTTTTTTTACAGGACATGTTGCATCTCAGCGGAGCAAAAAAGGCCTTTTTTTTTTTCGGAAGCCTGACCTGTTTGAAGATGGTGCTGATGGTGATAGTGGCAGGCTTGAAAGCAGAGATGTTACACGGCTGCTCGTCGAAAGTGCTGAAACGTTCTGAGTTTCTCCGGGGCATCTGCACTTTACGATCTATGCTGCTGGATTTCCCTGATGGAAAAAAAAAAAAAAAAAAATCATCGCAGGGCAATATGCATTCAAATCACACCAGATTGTGACACTACAGGAGGTCCCCTAATGTAATCGTTACATTTATTTTAAAAAATGTACATTATAATGGACTCTATGCGCACCAGATCATGACGGTAGAAACTACCGAAGTGTGTGAGCTTCAGGCTTCCGTTTATTGCAAGCCACCGGGAGGCCATTGGAGGAAACATGACCCCATTCTTTAAAATTGTCTTAACGTGGGTTTCTGTAATAGGTCTATTGAATAGCTGAGAGATTGGGCTTTTCAAGACTGAAATGTCCTTTGAACTTGTGAGTTTTTGAAGATGAAGGAATCCTCCTGCCAAATCTAAGATATGCCCACCATTATGTTCAAGTTTTTATTTGAAAACATTTACCGTTGAGCCGGAACCACAATGGAGAAAGTTTATACATTCGGACAGACAATTTATCTCTTGCAACATCGAATTGACGAAGGTAGTATGTCCGTGTGTCTTTTTCTTTGTCGGTTTCCAGCTGAGTCGCTACGGAGAGGCCATGTTGGCCGCTCTCTCATGAAGCTTTGTGGGAAAATTTATCCTCATTCTGCTGTTCGTAGTAAATGCTTATTATTATTATTATTTTATTGATTGTTTTTTATCAGTTCACATTTGTTGCATGCTCGCCTTGGAAAGAGACCATAAAGACTTTGTATTACATTTTGTGGTTGTTTTTGTGCCCTGGGTTGAGCATGTCAAAATAAGTCATGCAAGTCTGTAGCCCTGTTCACACGGCAAGATTTACTCCGACGCTGCACCGAAGTATTTTGATGCGATATATTTTACACCGCAACAAATTTCGTGGAGCGTTCACACGTACAAGCCGCTGAGCGACGCTGCACCGACGTAGTGCCGAAGTAACTCCACTTGCGGTCACACGGGGCAGTATTTTGTTTCGCAGTAAAACATGCGCATGCGTAAAGAAAGAAGAAGGCGGGGAAAGGAAGTAC